TTGCTATTTCCGACATCCTACCTGTGTGAGGCGGGGGGGGATTATGCAGCAACGGCGACGAAAACAAAATTACGAAGTAGACTGGACATAAACCACACACTTGCGGTGTCATTGTCTCTCCTATTACCCCGAGATGGGACCGTCTGGGTGCAGAAAATCAAGCTCGGTGCTGTGGTGAGTCGTCATTTTCATGCACTTTGAATTTGCGTTGTATCGTATTTTGAAGGCATTAAACATTGCCATAGCGATCGGAGTGTTGCGGCCAGATTAGACGCTCCTTGTGTTTATTATTATATTTCGAAAACACCACAGTTTGCATGCAGCTCATACCATATTATTTTGTTGTATTAATTCACCACACCTTAAATGTCGGTCCCTGAAAATATTGTCTGACTTAAACCGGTCCGTGGGGCAAAAAAGGTTGGGGACCCCTGCTTTAAACGGTGGACGCAGAGCGTCCGCAGAACGTCCGCAGAGCGTCGATTGGGCAGACGCCGGGCGTCTCGAGAGTTCAGGGTAGGTTGTCCCAATGTGTTGAACGGAGACGAGTCATTGGATACAAGCTGGTTTTTGTCCCGCCCACGGACGCCCGGCGTCTCTGGGAGTCTAAGGACAGTGGGCGTGTATCGGCCCCGCCTGGACGCTGAACTTTCTGCATGAGGATTTTTGTATGATCTGTCTGAGGCGGAATGTCGTTATGATTGATAGTAAAATGAGCCAATCACCGATCTTTTGGTGTAGGCATCCGTGGGAGCATTTTTCAATTCTCATTCTGTTCTGAGTTGAACTGGAGACTTCTAGTAATCTCGAATGGCAACACTCTCTTTGTTGAAAACGACTAGCGACAGATTCATCTTTTATTTCTGGTGTGTTTTATTGTAGTTGCTTGTGTTCGCAGACTGACTTATATCACCACAGTGAAGAACTTGGAAAAGACGCCTTGTTGGTATGCCAGGGTCACAGATCATTTTCTTGAAAAAGAACGGAGAGTAGAATTCATGTAGAAATAAACTGATACATTTTATAATGTAGCCCGAAATTGAGCTTCCCCTTCTTGACAGACCAGCATCCGCCACTGATATATACTGTGTAT